TTTTCATTTGAATGAAAACTAAGAAAAAATTATACTATAGACATCAGGCCTAAAAACAATTGGTACCGAGCTACCATAACCAATAAAAGTTTTTTTTTTTTAATAAAATAAAAGCAATAAAAGTAAATAAAATTTAATGATGTGAATTTATAAAGTTTCGAGTGTGCACGAATACTACAGTGATTGATAAATTGGTGTATTGTACGAGCGTCACTCCAACGTCTCACCCTTTAGTTAGTCTTACCCAGAGTCATCATACCATCTTCCTTTCGTAACCATCGGATGCACTTCAACTTCATTAAACGGTCTTCTCTAGCGAACACATACACCACTACCGCACATAACTTTACCCGTAGACCATGAGAGCCAAAACCCCAGTCAACACCATGACGTCAGCTTGTGATGACCATTTTAACAAAAAAAAAAAAAAATGCAGCTTGTGATGACCAATTAATTGCTTGTACAATACACCAATTTATCAATCACTGTAGTATTCGTGCATACTCGAAACTTTATAAATTGTGAATCTCACACACACACCTTCTCTCTAAAATAAATGTGAGATTCACAATATTTTTTAGGGCAAATCATTTCAGCCTCTCGAATCGCCTCAATCTCTATTCTCGTTATTAACTCTGAACTTGCCCTCTCTCTCTCTCTGTCTCTCTCTCTGCAACTGCAAACTACAAAATCAACAAGAATCAGAAGTTCAAAACCCATATATTTCAGTTTATCTATCTGTCTGCAAGAATCAAAAGTTCAAAACCCATATCGGCATATCATTTCAGGTTGTTCAAAAAATCAAAACCCAAATCTTTCAGTTTCCATCGCCCGCTGTTCCAGATCGGGTTCGCCACTCGCTAGCTTCAGCCGCTGGTCCGCTGTCTCTCAACTCTCAAGCTTCCCCCCCCCCCCCCCCCCCCCGTGCAACTGCTAACTTGTATGTATTGGTTTTTATTTAATTTTTTTTTCTAAATCAACTAATCAAGGTCTGTAATTCTTGTTTTGCAAACTAAATCCTATTTGGTGAAATTTTTATGATCTTTTTTATATAACTTTTTTTTTTTTACAATATAAAGTAACAAAATTTGCATTGCATTTTGAGGTAATCACGGTTATCTACATTTTATTTCAGCAAAACAAATATATATATTTTTTATTTCTATGACTTCTATTTCTGTGTCTATTTTTTTTTTTGTCAATTATGTCTTCAAGAAAATTTGAATCTAAAGAATCTGAATTGGATTAGAAATCTGCAGAGATTGAATCTGAAACAATATTTAGACATGCCAAGCTTTTTGAAGATGGAAATCTTTTCAGCACTAAAAAAAATCATAACAAAGAACTTTGACGAGCAAAAGTACTTAATATAGGGTAAAGCTCTAAAGTTACTTCTTGAAAATTAAAATACTTACAAAAACATGCTTTTGAGTGAATTCCATAGTGTTGGAAGGGGCTTGCCATGAACTACCTCACACTTTGCTTCCACTAGTAGATTCTCAAATAGGGGTGAATTTTTCAGAAATAAATTGGTAATTTTTTTTTATTAATTACCCAAATAAGATTTTCTATGCCTTATTCAGTCAATTGTCTAAAGAAACATTTTTAGTTAACTAAAATTGAATTATATAACAGTTGATTTTGGTTGATATATTTTTATTTTCAAATTTTGGTTTTTGATTTTCTTTTGTTATTAGAATGCAGAATATCATGATATTGATTTGTTAATTTTGAAGATTATTCCTAAACTGATACATTGTAGTTTGTTATTGGACTAATTTAACATAAGAGTTGAGTATAATATGTGTTAATCACACCTATTTGTAATCACACCTCTTTCTATGGATAGGTGTCCAACATTTTGACTGAAAGCATAGTTGGGTTGGGTTGATACATGATACAGATAGTACTTAGATGGTGGTGTTTTAATTGTTATGAGTGTGATTGTGAATCATCTTCCTCACAACTTGAGCGTTTTCTTATTTTTAGGGTTAGCATCGGGCCTTAACATTTAGCAAGAACAAGACTCAAGAAACATGTCTCCTCAGTCATCAGGTAACAAATTATTACTTTTTCTAAAATTTTAAGTAACATTTTTAGCTATTGGTTACGTTTATATATTCATGTTTTACGTACTTATTTAAATTTTTTTTTTCCTACATACATATATATATAATATTGTTATGATTTGATGCTCGAACAATTTATTAATGGGAATTAAAGGCTTGGAAGTTTAGTTTTCAATTTCAAAATATATGTCTTACAAGTTTATTAACGCTTTTAAAACTTTTCCTCTTTTGTCCTAATAATATAGGTTTCTTTTCTGAAAGAAGAGAGTTGATGGGAATGGGTGGAGTTGGAAAAAAAGGGTATGTTTTTTTTGCCTAGCTAATTGAATTATATAAATCCCCTTACCGTTGTAGCAGTGATGTTGGTTTTAAAATGACCAATTATGATAGGAAGTCTCTTTTCAGTTTATCTTAATCAAATGTATATCTATGCAAGAGGATTACGTGATTCTAGATGACGATTCTAGATGATGATGTTAATGTCAAAGTTATGAGGATGTTGATGTTAACGTTGACTCTAGTGATGACGACTGATGATATTGATAATATGTTGATGCACTTAAATTAAGTCAAAAGCACTTAGAATTGAAGGAAATTTAGAGTTAAAGACATACTATTGGGCATAGTGTCTAATTCTTTTAGTTACAAGAATCTTTGGTCGCTTCACACACGATTTTTCAGTTCCTGAAATTCTAAAACAATGGTGTGTAATACTAATATGATTCATCTACTTGGGCTCTCTTCTTTTTCATCTCTCTAAACCCTAATTTTATTTGTGAAAAAAAAAAAAGAAGACTATACAATTTTAATTTAACTTTATTAGTTTGAGCATTGACAAATAGTCTACCAATAAGAATTACCCAACTTAGGACAAAATAAGCACTCTGAACGTCTTGACTAATATTGGCATGGGAGACTTCTATAGATATGGAAATGTAGAGACAAAGATATATGGTTGGGGGCACAAAAGTGTTTGACAGCTGTGAACCAACGATAAGGTTGTGAGCTTTTGGCTTGTTTCATGCATCGGATCTAAGAAGTGTACAAAAATGAAATGGAAAGCTCTGATGCACTCAAAGTTACAGACAGAGACAATAATTAATATTATATATTTATAACTTACTTTACTAATTTGATATGATACTACGTATACCTTACACACATATATATATATATATATATATATATATATATATATGTTTGTAACTTTATAAACAATTGAATAATGTTAATTAAGAGAATCCTTGGTTTCATAGGGGGTGGTCCCCCAAACTCAATCTCATCCGAGTTTCCCAAGTGTGGGGGGCCTGGCTTTTGGCTTCGCGCGATAGGGTGCATGTTCTGTACCTGGCTGTGGTCCTCCAATCTCAATCTCATCTGAAAGAAAGCTCTACCAATGACCCTAACTGAGTCAGCTAGTCTAGCACCAACCACTCTTTAGGCCAGCTCTAGTTCCAAGAGAGGGGCCGATCAAACAAGACTCTATTAACCACCACCACAGGAATCCCAAATTGTATCTCAGTGCAATACATGTGAAGCCAGCCGGCTCTTGACGAGAAAGAAGCCCGTTTTGATAAGAATCTCTCTATTTGACTTCCGCGCAAAGCCCTTTTCGGGCCTGTATGTTGGACTAAAAGTATGCCTGATATCGTCGACTAATCCCAGAAATTCGAGAATTCAATATCTCCTCTGGCACCCTGACTCTCCCTAAAGCTATTACAGTAAAACAACTGTATCTTGTCTTATAGCCTGGCGCGGCGGGTTGCCTTATTTGTTAATATACCTACTTGCCTACTTGTTATATGTTTTAAAGTTTTGAAGTACATGTTAGATATGCTCAAGTATGCATGTAACTGGATGGTGCCAATGAGAAGCATATTATGGCCTTGAAAAGTTCTATTAAACATTCCTGTTTTTTTTTTTTTAAATATATATACAAAAGAAAAAAAAGAATGAAAGTTAGGTGGGTCCATTTTTATTTTTGGATGACATTATTTCATTTTAGTTTTTTTTAATGCTATAATAAGATAGTGGTCTAAAGGCTAGAGATCATAAAGAAACCCACCATTTGTCTTCACATTTCAAATTTATTTTCCTTGTCCATCACGAATTGGAAAAGTCATTGAAGAGGGTAGTAGTTGTTATTTCTATATCCTTAAGTTTATACATACCATTTGAGTCTCCATGTCACTTAGAATTCTTTCCTAGTCGAATATTCCGTATCATCAACAATTGAAATTCGGTGGAATGAAGTTAAATGGTAAAATAATCAATCAAATGGAAAATAGGAGGGAGAAAAGGTGGTGAAATAGAAAGAAGTTAAGGTTTGTGTGCATTATGATGTAGCATTATCTGAGAGCGGAGATGACATTAAGACAAAGTGGCCGGAAGATAAAAGATTGAATAAAGAGAGAAAATAATTGCGGAGAGAAGATGCTCTGATGGATATTTGGCTATAAAAAGGAAAGACTTATTGAGATTCAGGGAGGGGGTTTCGGCAAAGGAAGTTTACTTTGGGTTGCATTCATTTTAATTTCTCTTGCAATTATATTGTTTGTTATATTTTTCTTCAATTATGTGTGACTAAAGTCTTATGCTAAGGTGGAGGAAATCATCATTAATGAATTCAAGGGCGGATGTAGGGGTGGGCTTGAGCCCACTAAAAAAAAAAAAATTTTTTTTTACTATACTAATTTTATCCTAGCACCAAAAAAAAAAAAAAATAATAATAATAATAATAATAATAATTATATTACTAGAATTAGCCAACCCAATCAGCCCAAGTCAACTCAGCCACCATACTAAAATAAAGGCCCAAGCCAAATAAGCCCAGGGCCTGACCCAATCGCCAATGGATGATGGGTCAGCAAAAAAACAAAATATTTTTAGGGCAAATCATTTAAGCCTCCCCAATCGCCTCCATCTCTATTCTCGTTCTCGACTCTGAACTTGCCCCTTCTCTCTCTCTCTGCAACTGCAAACTACAAAATCAACAAGACTCAGAAGTTCAAAACCCATATATTTCAGTTTATCTATCTGTCTGCAAGAATCAAAAGTTCAAAACCCATATCGGCATATCATTTCAGATTGTTCAAAAAATCAAAACCCATGTCTTTCAGTTTCCATCGCCCTTCTAGATCGGGTTCGCTGCTCGCTAGCATCAGACGCTAGTCCGATGTCTCTCAACTCTCAAGCTTGCCCTCCTCTCTCTCTGCAATTGCTAACTTGTATGTATGGGTTTTTATTTAATTTTTTTTCTAAATCAACTAATCAAGGTCTGTAATTCTTGATTTGCAAACTAAATCCTATTTGGTGAAATTTTTTATGATCTTTTTTATATAAAGTAACAAAATTTGCATTGCATTTTGAGGTAATCACCGTTATCTAGATTTTATTTCAGCAAAACAAATATATATATTTTTTATTTCTGTAACTTCTATTTCTGTGTCTGTATTTTTTTTTTTCAATTATGTCTATAAGAAAATTTGAATCTGGCCATGAAAAAAGAAAAAAAAAAAAAAAAAAAAAAAGAATCTGAATTGGATTAGAAATTTGCTGAGATTGAATCTAAAACAATATTTATCAACATGCCAAGCTTTTTGAAGATGGAAATCTTTTCAGCACTAAAAAAAAAAATCATAACCAGAACTTTGACAAGCAAAAGTACTTAATATAGGGTAAAGCTCTAAAGTTAACTTCTTGAAAATTAAAATACTTACAAAAAGCATGCTTTTGAGTGCATTCCATAGTGTTGGAAGGGGCTTGCCATGAACTACCTCACACTCTGCTTCCACGAGTAGATTCTCAAATAGGATTAGTAAATTGGTCAAAAGAAGAGATAGGGTACTGAGTGGTGAATTGTTTAGAAATAAAGTGGTAATTTTTTTTTATTAATCACCCAATTAGAATTTTCTATGCCTTATTCAGTCAATTGTCTAAAGAAACATTGTTAGTTAACTAAAATTGAATTAAACAACAGTTGATTTTGGTTGATATATTTTTATTTTCAAATTTTGGTTTTTGATTTTCTTTTGTTATTAGAATGCAGAATATCAGGATATTGTTTTGTTAATTTTGAAGATTATTCCTAAACTGATGCATAGTACTTTGTTATTGGACTAATTTAACATAAGAGCTGAATATAATATGTGCTAATCACACCTATCCGTAATCACACCTCTTTCTACGGATAGGTGTCCAACATTTTGACTGAAAGTATAGTTGGGTTGGGTTGATACATGATACAGATAATACTTAGATGGTGGTGTTTTAATTGTTATGAGTGAGATTGTGAAACCTCTTCCTCACAACTCGAGTGTTTTCTTATTTTTAGGGTTAGCATCGGGCCTTAACATTTAGCAAGAATAAGGTTCAAGAAACATACCTCCTCAGTCATCAGGTAACAAACTCTTACTTTTTAAAAATTTTAATTAGCATTTTTAGTTATTGGTTACGTTTATATATTCATGTTTTACATACATACATACATACATATATATATATATATATATATATATATATGTATGTATGTATGTATGTAAACCATGAATATATATAATATTGTTATGATTTGATGCTTGAACAATTTATTAATGGGAATTAAAGACTTGGAAGTTTAGTTTTCAATTTCAGAATATATGTCTTACAAGTTTATTAATGATTTAAAACTTTTCCTCTTTTTTCCTAATAATATAGGTCTCTTTTCTGAAAGGAGAGTTGATGGGAATGGGTGGAGTTGGCAAAAAAATGTATGCTTTTTTTGCCTAGCTAGTTGAATTATATAAATCTCTTTACCGTTGTAGCAGTGATGTTGGTTTTAAAATGACCAATTATGATAGGAAGTCTCTTTTCAGTTTATCTTAATCAAATGTATATCAATGCAAGAGGATTACGTGATTCTAGATGACGATTTTAGATGAGGATGTTAATGTCAACGTTATGAGGATGTTGATGTCAACGTTGACTCTAGTGATGACGATTGATGATGTTGATAATATGTTGATGCACTCAAATTAAGTCAAAGCACTTTGAATTGAAGGAAATTTAGAGTTGAAGACATACTATTGAGCATAATGTCTAATTCTTTTAGTTACAAGAATCTTTGGTCACTTCACACACGATTTTTCAGTTCCTGAAATTCTGAAACAATGGTGTTTAATACTAATATGATTCATCTACTTGGGCTCTCTTCTTTTTCATCTCTCTAAACCCTAATTTTATCTATGAAAAAGAAAAAGAAGACTTTAAGCAATTTTAATTTAACTTTATCAGTTTGAGCATTGATAGAGAGTCTACCAATAGGAATTACCCAACTTAGGACAAAATAAGCTCTTTGAACGCCTTGACTAATATTGGCATGGGAGACTTCTATAGATATGGAATTGTAGAGACAAAGATATATGGTTTGGGGCACAAAAGTGTACGACAACTGTGAACCAACGATTTGGTTGTGAGCTTTTGGCTTGTTTCATGCATCGGATCTAGGAAGTGTACAAAAATGAAATGGAAAGCTCTGATGCACTCAAAGTTACAGACATAGACAATAATTAATATTATATATTTTTAACTTACTTTACTAATATAATATGATACTATGTATATCTTACATATATACAGATATACATATATATATATATATATATATATATATGTTTGTAACTTTGTACTTGGACTTAGATATATTTTGATTTAGCTCACCCCATTGAGAAATCCTGAATCCGCCCTTGAGTGAAATAAAATTTTTCACTATTATTATAATAGCCAGAGGGACTGATTAAATTTTTTTATAAAATACTATATATTTACATTCGTATATGTTATATATATATATATATATATTGGTTTACCTAGGGCAACTACAAGGCAAGTCTACAGTCCTCCTCTCTCTCTCCCGAACCTTGAACGTAACTATGTGCCGCTTTAATCGTCCGGTAAGTCTGCTCACTAAAATGAAATGAATTAATTAATTAAAAATGACGTGACATGAAGTATAATCTAATAGGATGGAATAGAGACATGTGGCTGACCCCATTTATGTAAGAAAATGGCAAGCACGGTGATGATTTAAAGAAAAAATCAAAATTATGTTAATCATTTAGCTAGTACATAGAGGATAAATTCATGTCAAAGGCATTTGGGCTCTCTTAATTAGGACCTTATGTAACTTTCTCCTACGAACAGGCTGCTGGTACCATGGAAACTGCTTTTACGGTTGAGGAAGCTGCTACGGCAAGTCATTCATTCCAATGTTGTTAAAGGTGTACCTAGTCTGGAGGCTCAGGTTTAGCGCCTGTTGTCATCCCAGGCTCACTGATGTTTACTCGGCGCGCGCCTCGGTTGCGCCTCGTCCTATTTTTGAGGTGAGCATAGGCGCGCCTCATTGATATTTGTTTAAAAAAATACGATTGTTCTATTTCTTAAGTCAAAAAGGGTACTTTTGGCCACTTAGTAAACAAAAAAGAAAGCTCATTCATACGATATAAGGAACTTTTGTTCAAAAGAATAAAAAAATAGAAAGTTCAAGAGTCAAAGTGTTAACCGAATAACGATAGAATGAGATTGTAAGATGAAGATGAAGCCCTAGTTGCAGTGATGAATGACGAAGCCACGTCAGTTCTTCCTTTTCTTTTTTCCCTCTCTTCTCCTCTAGGAAATATGGTTGTTTCCCCACCAAATTCCCAAGATAGAGTGTTTCCATTAGTCGATTTCCTCTTTGATATCCTCTTCCAGTATTTTAACCACCGGATCGTCACTATTATCACGAATGTATGGCCAGCTGTTCCATCTTCTTCTGCTTCTCCTTTAAAGAAACTCCTCCATGAGGTTTTAGGGGGAGCGGTTGTGTGAGGATTAACTGCCCCCATGAACGGGTTTGAGGATATAGTCCCCTCCTCCATTGTCATAAACCACAACCTCCCTCACCGTTGACCTAGCCCGCCGATAGGCGAGAAGGAAACAAATCCTTCTCGCCTCCGGTGATCGTAGCCATTGCATTCCCTACAAATTTGTGGTTTCCAATCACACTCAATACTGATTTCACAGGGAGTCCCATGAACATTAGCTTGAATTATCCCAGGAAGTTCCTCTTGGACATCTATTTACACCCTACTTGGACATAGCTCCCACGTTCCCTAGCCATAGTGATTTCATCAAGGAAAAGTGGTTTTGAAAACTTCGAACATACATTGGAGATGGCTATGGCAATCCTGCAATGAATGGGAAGATCAACCAAGGGAATCCAAATCGGAACAGATCCTAGTATAGCTCCTTCTCCAAATTTACGTTCTTGTCCCATTGCTTCAAAATCATCGGCTGGTCATGGTATGTATGGATTCTCTGTAATATGGTGTTTACAGCAATATCTGATTCAAATCGAACCATGAAAAACCCTTTGGGCATTGTTATGACTTTAAATTGGCCAACATTCTGCCAAGTCCGCTTCAAAAATTCATGAAAATATGGGAAATATGGTTGTTTCCCCACCAAATTCCAAAGATGTGTTTCTATTAGTTGATTTCCTCTTTGATATCCTCTTCCAGTATTTGAACCACCGGATCGTCACTATTATCACGAATGCATGGCAGCTGTTCCATCTTCTTCTGCTTCTCCTTTAAAGAAACTCCTCCATGAGGTTTTAGGGGGAGCGGTTGTGAGGATTAACTGCCCCCACGAACGGGTTTGAGGATGTAGTCCCCTTCTCCATTTTCATAAACCACAACCTCCCTCACCGTTGACCTAGCCCGCCGGGAGGCAAGAAGGAAACGAATCCCTAATTTCAGGTACCCTAAATCACCCCAAGATAGAGAGCCTTTTTATTTTTTTATTTCTTGATTTATTTATGTTAAATCTTTAATGCACATCTCTCTTTCTATTACTTGTTAATAGTTACTATAAGTTTTTTGCTATGATTTTGTTAGGATTCTTTAGAATCATAAAGGGCAGGTGAAGATTTTCTTTGTGGCTTCTGGCCTCAAGGAGGCTAAGGATGGGAGTTTTGTTCTTCAAAAAGGTAAAAGTCCAAAAGCTGTGAATAATTTAGGAGGTCATAGTTGCAAACAATGCCAAGGTTTACATCCAATCTACCACTCCCACCACACTCTAATAACAGGGACGGACCAGGTTGCAGCCTCTCTCTTCGGCTATTGACTTTCAGTAGAAGCCCAAAGAGATCACATTGTTTCTCTCTCTACCCTCCTCTCCCTCACTCTTTTCTTTGTGTTGGTGTCTAGAATAAGTGAGAGGCGTATTTATAGTGGTGAAGGGGTGAGAGTGGAAGGTGAAAGTTTATTAGGGTAGTTGAGGGTGTTTTAGCAACTTTATTGAGTTAGTGGTGATGTGGCGACCCATAATTGGGCCGCATCTTTGAGGGTATAAAAAAATGTGAGGCGACCCCTTAGACTTGGGTAACCAGAAATTATTGGATGGTCCTCCTGCATTTGATACTTGGTGGATTGACAACTTATGTTGAGATGTTTTTGTAATATATCAATAGCCATTTTTTTCTTTCAATCTGAGTGTTTCAATTTAATGCCAATGAACCAGAACCATCCAATAATTTCTCTTTGGTGACCCTACTTGTTTTATTGAACTTTTGTCTTTTCTTTTATTATTATTATCCTTATTTTTTGTTTTTCATTGTTTTTTGTGTGTTGGGGCGGTCCGGTTTTTTATTTTTATTTTTATTTTTTTTTATATGGAATTTTAAGCAATTGTCATAAATATTAAAATAATTATAGTGTGGGCCAATTAGCCAAACGGCCCTATATAGGGAGAACAGTCCCAATTTTGACATACAAGGGACCAGGCCCAGCCCAATTATCTAACCCAAACTATAACTAATAACCATCATTCAAACTATAACTAATAACCATCATTAACGGAATGTTAAACCGTTAATGGTGGTTATCAGCCAATCAATCTGGTGGGTTAATTTATGGTGTATGTGTGTACTGTAGGTGCAAGGAAAGTGACATGTTGCTATTAGTTTGAAAAGTAACAGGTACAAGTATACGTGGGTTTCTTTATTTATAGGTGGTACGTGAATTGTTTGTGTGTGAGTGTATTATGTATGTCGCGTCTGGGTGTTGTGTTGTAGTGCATTTGGTGTTGGGTGGGTTGATTGCATTGGGTGGGGGTGAATGTGTGTGTGCTTGCTAATGGGTTCATTTATTTTTTATTTTGCAATCCTCTTTTGTTACTATTATTTTATTATTATTATTTTTAACTATTCTCTTTTCTTTGTGACGGCCCAAATGAGCAATCCTTAGAATTAGGGGTGGTAAAATTATTCTTAATTTGTTAGTTTGTTTATATTCGTCCACTTTTTAATGAATTGAATCGGCTAAGGGACGAGTAAAACTAATTAAATATGAGTATTCATATTTAGCTCATCTTTCACTCAAAATTAATATAATTAGGCTATCTCTCTCTCTCTCTCTCTTCGACTGTATCACTATCTCTCTACTATCCATCACCCTCTCGATCTGTCCCTCCTCTCCTACAATTTGTCGCTCTCTCTCTCATCGTTTGCTCTACTCTCTCTCTCATTGGGTCATGACGGGTTAACTCTGCCCATTTTAACCCATCACAGACAGGCTGAATATGGGTATTGTAACAGGTGGACACTTGTCCATTTACCCAAAAGTTCGAACTATTGGGTAGTGCTGCATACCCATCCATTTACACCCATGTCACTTCTCATCCGGATCCGATATGGGACAAGTTTCCCCTTGTAATATTCTCCTCCACCCGAACTCGCAACGCCATCGTTGCGGTCGGGCCACCCTGCCTACCCAGGGTGGTTCACCCGGACGCCTTCCGGGCCGGGAGCTTGGCGTGGCACCGGATCAAGGATTGGGTCTGACTCTGATACCAACTGTAACGGGTGGGCGCTTGCCCATTTACCCAAATGCTCAAACTATTGGGTAGTGCTGCATACCCACCCATTTATACCCGTGTCACTTCCCATCCGGATCCGATGTGGAACAAGTTTCCCCTTGTAACAGGTATCCATTTTGACCTGCCCATTTTTAAAATTCAGTTTTTTATTTTATATTTTGAAATTGATTGAATTAACTTTGCTGGATGGCATTGATGATTGTTATGTAAATGAAAAAACAATACTAAGTGGATGATTATATTAGTTATGTAACATTATGTTTGAAAAACAAACAGTATATATGTATTTGATACTCTTTGGAATGATTTTAAGGCTCAAGTGGTTCAGGTCATATAAACGGGGGTCATGCAAGCAGGCCGGATTATATAAATGGGCTGAGCCCTACAAATGGGTCGAGGTATGCAAACGCTGCCCATGCCAACTTGAAATTTATGTTGTATTTTTGGGTCATGTTATCGAGAGAGAATTTTAAGATCCAAACTAGATCCTTTGCAAATTGGTCCATTCTTTGTAATAGGTTTTTGTTTTTGTTTTGGTAAACTGGTTGATTTCTTTTAAACGTTTTACCCTCCCCTTTTATTTTCAAGTTTTTGGAATTAGCCGAAGTTAAATATTTTTTTAGAAAAAAATTTGAACATTACCCAATTCATATTTGACCCATTACAAACAAGTTGAATATGAGCCTCAATTCATTTTGACTTGCCCATTTTCAACCGGGCCAAAATCCAACCCCTCGCCCCATTTTCAACTGGGCGAAAATCCAACCCCTCCCCTTGATTAATATTTATTTATAAAATAAATATTATCTCATTAGGTATAATTTTTTTATTTTTTTATTTCTTAGGATAATTTTAAAATTTAACAACATTTTTGTTATTATGATCGTCAAATATTTGACTACACCACAAATATATATATATATATATATATATATATATATAATTTTATATCTTAAATTTATTCAACTTTGAACTTTTTTCTTAAAAATAAAGGCATATATTTAAACCTACCCCGATTTCGATACAAGCCATCCCAAAATGGATTTGGAAAAAAATTTCGTTGGTGGGATAGGTCTGGAAAAGGAGTGCCCCGTCCCGAATCCACACTGTTGACATCGGAATACCATTTTTTTTATTAATATGAGAGTTTTTATTAATGGTATTTTGGGAGTAATTTGCTACAAGTTTTCAAAAAATTATATGAGTTTGTACGCCTAAAGAGAGTGGGTTTTTTTTTTGTAAATTGTTTATATAGCAGGGGGTATTTTTGAACTTTATCTATATCTATATATACTACACTGTTTAGGGTTCCTCCTCCCTCCCACTCCATTTCCGAGGCATTTCTGAACTATACACCTCACCCATGGCTTTCTTCCTCTGACAAACCACATTGCAATTGTGCAGGAAATGTAATCCAAGCATTTTCCAACACAACACCCATTCTTACCCTCACATTTTATCGAAAGTTAATGTGAATGTGCCCTCCAATGGTCTCTCTGTCTCTCTCTTACGACTTCACTTTTCATTGTTCTTCTTGTTATTGTTATTATTATTATTATTATTACTATTATTATTATATATTTTTTCAGACTTTGCTACAGATTTGGGGATTATGAACTTACTTGTAGGGTGGGTTTGCAGTGCTAGGACAGCAAGCCTCTGCCAACCAGTCCAATTCCAGGTTTGCGAGTGGTAGCATTTACCTTCAGAGAACGCTGCTGCTGCTACATGCTGAGTTTTATTCTCGTGTGACCACAATTGCTGTGAGTTGATGATTCTGTTTACCCCGAATTGATTCTCTTGGCTTTGGTTTTTTGTTTTGAGTATAATTTTTGTTCTTGATTTCTTGTTTGATTTGATGACATTTTTTTATGGTTTGTGTTTTTTGGATTAAGAATCTTATAATGAATTTCTCAATCCAGCTCTCAATTTTGAGAGGACTCTTTCATTTTATTTATTTATTTTTATTTTAGTTAGTATATTATAAGCTTCAGTGCTTTGATTCGGTGCTACTCTGAAGCTTTTTCAATGTTAAATTTATACGATATATTTTGCAATAAAAAGTATAAAATTATAATCAGATATGATTAATGTATGAGCTCTTCCTCTCACGCCACATGACATAGAGAGAAACAACACAAGCAAGCTTGATAACAACATTAGGGAAAGTGGGACCCTTAGAGATTATGGGCACCCTAGTGGATGATATCAACAAGGCAATGGGAGGGCTATTTAATGTGACATTTAGAAGCAATGAAGGCCCAACCCTCTGAGAATGAAAGGGCAGCCTAAAAAAGAGATGATGATGGTCTGCTTTTGGTTGCATATTTCGGTCGCTTACTACTAGGTTGGATCGGAAATTTCTCTTTGGTGCATGGACAATATAAGGAAGTTTGACTACATGTTTCGTTAGGATTTCTTTCATTCATTAGGCCGCTTCGGTGTCAGCTTGAGTTATTTCCTTCATGGATGTTGCCGACTATCACATTGCACTCTGTACACTTCAAGCGCATTCCGACGGAGAAGAGCACAGAATGCAATATTTAGCTATCAAAAAACTTATTAAATCTTTTGTATAACTTCTGCAAACTTTTTTACTATATGCTGTGCTATTTTAATTAATGAATATTGGCCTTATTTCTTTTATCTAGATAGTTTCTCTTTTTCTGTTAATGATATGTGGGGGTCACATTTGCTGTGTCATTTATCTTGTTGATAGGCGAGGATTTCTATTTAGGCAGCATTTCCTTGGTGGAAATCAACGTGTCCCTCTCATGCAATAAGAGAGGATAGGTCATGCCCACAACCCCTTTTACACCTAATGGTGTTCTCTCTTTTTCGGTGATCAACGACCCTCTAATGGCGTGAGGTTAGTTTACTTGCTTGCTTGTTCAATCAAGTAAGGCAGATGCCGGCTTTTGAATGATCACCTTGCTGGATGTGAACGGGGCGGCCTACGAAGAAAAATAAATAATACGGGGAGGTGGAAGCAGAGAATAGATTTCTCTTGCTCTGCGTTTACAATTTATGGAGCAAATGGCTTTCATTCTTTTTCAGGAGAAGACTCTGTTGTTCTATGTTAGTGATCCTGAGCCTACCTAGGGTTAAAGGAGGTCCGGGTAAGGAGACTTTTTAAATGCCATTCATGCCAGGTAAAGTAGTGGTTGGCCAACCGCCAGTGCAAAGCGGAGGTTTGTTGTTTTTGTTGGTGCAATAGGTCTTCTGATTCTTATTCTGTGCAGTGGGCAAATGGGAACTAGGAATGAGAGTAGCTCACAGTAGGTCATTAGGGACAGGTAAGACTGACCGCGGAAAACATGCGTGAAACTTGCGCTTCTCTTGCAGACCCTTTACTCTGCCAGCCATTACTGACCGGAGAGGGAGCAGTCAACAACTCTAGTTCCATCTCCGAAGAAACCAATATTATTCTCCCCGTGCGATGTGCTCACCCCGCATTCATTAGGGGCTAGCCTTGTCTTTCCAGCCCTGCCAGCTTATCCTTGCTTGACTGCCGGCACTTCCGCTAACTACAGCCCTATCTCTTCATATGCTGGCTGCTTGTCCAAGTTTCCAACTCAGCTAAATACGGATCACTCACACTAAGCGGTTCCTACTCTCGCCTTCTATTCTTTCTCCTCCCTACAGGTGGACTGGTCAAGACTGAAGCCTGTGTCTGGAAGCAAGCATACGGATGTAGACTACACGGAATGAAAGTCCTTACCTGGCCAACCCTATCTCTATTAAGGAAGAAAACTACAATCCACTCCCAAAATAAAGCAAGACATATGATATGGCTTTCCCACTGAATTAGGAATTGTTGAAGCGATAGGAGACTTCAGCCCTGTGCTACTGTTTAGTGGTAATCTGCTCGGCTAGTGTATTCCGCTCGAAAGCCAAACCTCCTATCTATCTGAAAGCCAATGAAGGGAGTGCTTTCTGTTCCCTTAGGTAAGTTAGGCGAGTGCCTTCTGCTGCTCTCCTCAATCTAGAAAAACAGAATTTCACAGCTTTCGATTCCCTTCTTTGAAAGAAAGATCTTCTCTTTCTTTGTCTATCAATCTTCCTGCCCCAAGCCCTTGTTGTCTCTAGCGTGTTTGATAGAGAACGACTTTCATAAGCACTTCTTTGCAACTTCGGAAGAAGGCTTTGAGGGGAACTAACTCGATGTGGCTCTGGTTCAGTACTGCCTTTCGCTTAAAATCTCTTCCAGCTCTTACCTAAAGTAAATAAAATTATAAGGATCTTAGGCATGTTTCTGGGGGTGTTTTTTTAGTTAGTACAGAGAACTTGATTGATTGTTTTTAATTTTTTTTAGGATCAATGCCATCGGCTATGTTTTGTTTGTCTTACAAATATTTGTTTAAAGTTATTTTATAAATTTATTTCATTGCATAATTATTTATTTTGTATAATCTTTTACTACTCCGCTCATGTTGCTATCTCATCCTTTTTGGTATTGCTTTAATTTGTGGTTGTGTCATAGTATCTTCTATGAATTGGAACCGTTTGATAAAAGTATATTTGGTTGTTTGATGATAAGATTGATTAGTTAAATTCTCAAGTATATTTTTGTTACGGAGAATTAGGTTGATCGTGTTATATATATATTTTTTATTATTCCGCTCATGTTGTTATCCCATCTTTTATGGTTTTGCCTTAATTTGTTCAATTGTTATCAATTACTTTGTAATGTAATTTTATTTTTAACTTTTTTGATAAAGGAGTTAGAATTTGGTGATTCTCAATTGAAAGTAGCTGCGTAAAATATATAAAATTTTTTGATTGGGGTTGTTTCTTAGAAGCGCATAAATGATTACAAATCAATATTATTAACAAAATTTGTAAAAATTTATTTCACTACATAGTTGTATTTGTGGCATCATTTCGGTGTAGACAGGAATCTTAGGCATGTTTATAGGTGAGTGACTTCTGTGTCTCAGTGATTTTTTATTTATTTATAATTATTTATTTAGTATAATCTTTTATTACACTGTTCATATTGCTATCCCATCCTTTCTGGTATTGCTTTAATTTGTTATGTGTTGAAGTTATGCGCTTTTCATTTCATTTGCAGAGAAAAACTTTGTATTGTTGTACTTTCAATTTTTATGTAACTTTTTAAATAAAAGCGTTGAAATTTGTTGATTCTCAAAATGTTTTGATAAATATCTAATTTTTAATTTATAATGCAACTGAATTTTTTAATTGTGCATGACTAAATTGGAAGAAAGTATTGTGATTTGTGACTTCTTAGTTGTTTTTTTTGGTTAGTTGATAAGATGTATGTTTTTTTTATTTGTTTATTCAATCACTTTATTTCTTTTATTAATTCTTTTGATCATCTTGTATAATTTTTTTTATTAAAGATTATAAAAATAACTTTTAACCACGTGTATTGCACGTTTCTTTTACTAGTAATTTTCAAATGTCCTTTAATATTACATATAAGTTAGGCTTTAGGGGCACCACAAATTAAAGTCTTGAGAATTTAATTTTAGAGAGCATTGTTCATGGGTGCCTTTGATTGCTTGGTCACTCTCGTCTCTATGCAAAGCAAAAAATTGTTGAGATAGTTTAATTCTTGACATAATTACGGATTTCCAATTTTTTAGGAAAGATTGACCACGGATCGAATTAGGAATTAAACATGTTCCAATCCGAAGAGAAAATTGAATCCGATCCGATACAATCCATTACTTTATGGGTTGGAGCGGATTAAGTTTCTTCAAGGATCAGGTCGGATTAGTTATGTGGATTGGGCCTTTTCCTGCCCAATATTATTACGAAGTATTTTTTAATCGTGACCCAATAGATTAAAAAAACTTGAAAGGTAGTAAGCATTTAGGGTTAAAAGTTAGTACAACTTAAAACGATAAAAGAATAGAGAAAATAGGTAAGTGTATATTATAGATATATATATATATATTTGTAAATTTTAACCAATCGGATCGGTTTTTTGTGACCTCAAACCATTAACCAATTCATGAACTGTAAATTCCTTATTCATTAATCCATAATTGAATCGTGAGATTAAAAAATTAATCCGATCCACCCAGATCAGATTAAATTAAATCCAATTTTACGAATTGTCGAATCAAAATTACATTCCTAGACTCATTTACCCATGTAATATAATATATATTTTTTGTAACTACGAGGTTTCATTTAGTCAATTTATTTGAATAATTACCAAATCTCAACCCATAAAAGAAAAGTCTTGTTTCCACTTTTCAAGCTTGAAAATTGATAATTAAAAAATCCCTACATATTAAATAAAAGTCCAATCATCTCTAGTCCTATACAGAATAGGGTTTAGTGCCTACTATAGAGGCTCTACGAAATACACAAATTTCCTTTCATACCAGTTTCAATGGCATTTCTGTTTCGCCAAAACTCCTTGCCTGTCTGTAGGAAATTTAAACCTCTTCCTCTCAACTATGGCCCTTTACCCGAGCTGACCCTCGCCTATTCACCAGAATCTCACTCTATGTAGTATCCACAGGTTTTGTCTCTCATCTACTATACACACACACACAAGCACATCTTTAATTATGTTTTTTAAGCTGGTTTGTTTTAGGGAATGCTGAGAAGTATGGTCTCGTGAACATCTTCTTAGGCTCTTTGATGTGTGGATTTCAGTATTCTTCTGGCAGGCAAAATAAAACTATGATTGCTGAACTGAAAAAAATCTCATCGGTAACGTTTCTGTGCATTATATTTAATTTGTTAGCATTTAGGTTTTTGAAATTTGCTCCCCTAATTTATCAAGGACTAACAACAATATATTTGCTATAATCTTAGAGATGGCCAGAATTTACATAACGGTCACACACATCAATGATAATTTGGAGTAATTCTGGGAATGTTTAAGGTCAAAAAAATGGAATTGGGCTTTTGTTGAATACAGGATTTATTAATAACTATTATCATGTATGTGTGGGGAAGAGCATCAACAGTACGTTTATCACTCTAATTCCCAAAGACTTTATAATATCAAACTTATTCCTGTTAACTCTAGTGTCAGCTAAACTAATTAATGAAAAGGAGTACTTACCCAACCAGGAGCGAACCTCGAATTGCATTTTTCTCCTGTTGAGACCCCTTGCATTCCAAAAACCAATCACAAGACATAGGGGTTTGGTGGATTAGTTCCGCCAGCAACCATACCTCTGGTAAGACGCACTTTGTTAGGGTCAGCCTCGGCTTATTTTTTCTTATCTTCTTCTTCATCTTCTTTGAAGATGCAGCTCCCTGTGGGGACAAAGAAGGACAAGGATTGGTCTCAACTTCAACATCCCCAGCCTTAATACCATTCTCTGTATTACCCTTTCTCCAATTACTTCGTTCCCAGTCTCCACCTACATGCCTGACCCGAATTAACAAACTTCTTATCAGCACCTTCTTCTGGACAAGACACAATCTTTAAAAGATTGGCTTCCACAACATCAATCTTATTCACCACAGGATCGGACTCAGCTACTTCAACGGGTATAGATTTATCCTGTTTAATAACCCATTCCGTGATTATCTTCTTCTTTTGGGGTTGGGTTTTCAAAGGGCACTTAGCCTCCGGTGATCATAGCCATTGCATTCCCTACAAATTTATGGTTTCCAATCACACTCAATACTGATTTCACAGGGAGTCCCATGACATTAGCTTGAATTATATCAGGAAGTTCCTCTTGGACATCTATTTACACCATAACTTGGACATAGCTCCCACGTTCCCTAGCCATAGTGACTTCATCAAGGAAAAGAGGTTTTGAAAACTTCGAACATACATTGGAGATGGCTATGGCAATCCTGCAATGAATGGGAAGACCAACAAGGGAATCCAAATCGGAACAGATCCTAGTATACCTCCTTTTCCAAATTTACGTTCTTGTCCCATTGCTTCAAAATCATCGGCTGATCGTGGTATGTATGGATTCTCTGTAATATGGTGTTTACAGCAATATCTGATTCAAATCGAACCATGAAAAACCCTTTGGGCATTGTTATGACTTTAAATTGGCCAACATTCTGCCAAATCCGCTTCAAAAATTCATGAAAATATGGGAAATATGGTTGTTTCCCCACCAAATTCCCAAGATAGAGTGTTTCCATCAGTCAATTTCCTCTTTGATATCCTCTTCCAGTATTTGAACCACCGGATCGTCACTATTATCACGAATGCATGGCAGCTGTTCCATCTTCTTCTGCTTCTCCTTTAAAGAAACTCCTCCATGAGGTTTTAGGGGGAGTGGTTGTGAGGATTAACTGCCTCCACGAACGGGTTTGAGGATGTAGTCCCCTCCTCCATTGTCATAAACCACAACCTCCCTCACCGTTGACCTAGCCCACCGGGAGGCGAGAAGGAAACGAAACCTTAATTTCAGGTGCCCTAAATCACCCCAAGATAGAGAGCCTTTTTATTTTTTTATTTCTTGATTTATTTCTATTAAATATTTAATGCACATCTCTGTTTCTATTACTTGTTAACAGTTACTATAAGTTTTCTTGCTATCATTTTGTTAGGATTCTTTAGAATCATAAAGGGCAGGTGAAAATTCTTCTTTGTGGCTTCTGGCCTCAAGGAGGAGGCTAAGGATGGGAGTTTTGTCCTTCAAAAAGTTTAAGTCCAAGGGCTGTGAATAATTTAGGAGGTCATAGTTGCAAACAATGCCAAGGTTTACATCCAATCTACCACTCCCACCACACTCTAATAACAGGGACCGGACCAGGTAGCAGCCTCTCTTTTCAGCTATTGACTTTCTGCATGTGGCACGCTGTACCCATTAATATGACAAGGAAGAGGATTATTTTGTTAATACTTAATAGTGGCACTAATTTGTAGAGTGAATTTATGATTGTGTGGTTTTTATTTGCTAAAAAGTAGCAACCAATTGCTATCTTATTAATAGCTATATGTGTTATATTGTTGTATTGGGTGGGACTTTTTTTAGCACCCAGTCCATTGTTAATATTCGGCTTCTTTTTTTTTTTTTCATAATTTATATTCAGCTTTTCTTTATGCAGAGTGGTCTTCTACAAGCTGCCCCTTCTGCCCGAGCTGCTGAGTCTATTCAGCTCCCTGTTGCAAAGACCTCCGATAATCAGAAATGTGAGTGGGATAATAATTAGTTACTTGTTCTTTTTCTTTTTGATTAGCAGATGTTTCTGGAGGCATAGTGGGGTTTGCTGTTGGTGGTATGCTTGCAGGAATTGTGGGGCTCTGTCGTTGGCATCTAATGCATAGTTTGAACTTTGGATCATTTTCTGTATTGGAGAGGCTGGACCTATGTTGATCTGGCTATGTGCTTATTTGCTGCTTAAGTTTTTATTTTTAAGTGCAATGTGGGATAATAATTAGTTAATTCTTTTTCTTTTTGATTAGCAGATGTTTCTAGAGGCATAGTGGGGATTGTTGTTACTGGTGTGGTCGGAAGAATTGTGGTGCTCTGTCGTCGCAACAAAACTACTTTGATGCTTAGTTTGTCTTTTGAATTTTGGACCATATTCTGTATTGCAGAGGCTGGACCCTATGTTGATCGGGCTATTTGCTTATTTGGTGCTCAAGTTTTGAGAGTATAATGTATGGATTTGAATGCTTTAGCTGTTTTTCCTTAATCGAACGAACATTGTTATTTTTGCTTATTAATTTGTTCATAGTAATTTTATAAGCACTATAGACCTCGGCATTGCATTGTGTTGTTAAAGAATCATGCCAAGTTTACTAAACCATTTGAATTTGGTCTTGAAGGGCCTCCCACCCACAAGACCTCCTGTATTGCCGTAACCACTGACTGACAGTCTTGTGTGTTTTTTAATTTAATTTGGTTGATTGAAGGCCAACAAAGGTCTTCTTTTACATTTCCAGATTGGAGCCTTTTATATCATCAATTGGTTGTGACTTTGAAAGTAGCCACAACCAATTACATATATGATTCTTATGAATATGGAATATTTTAGTTAGAGTGAAAAGGAGTGACTAAATAAATTATATATTTTGGCAATGATTTATTAATTAATATCTATGCTGCCAAACACAAAGACCGCAAGACAAATGAGTCAGTCACACGCAAATTTGCTAATAGACATAGACATATATACCCAAAATCACAGCCGAGTGTGGGTGGGGATTAACCTGCCTGCAGCAAGCATCACTTCAATTAAATGCACCTTTGTTTGTTGATCTGGAATATATATATATATATAAGGTGTATCATGAAAATGAATTGATATATATAATAGGACATATCCCAAAATCATCACAACATTTCAACTAAACAGAATGAATCATCATGATTACGGGGGTTATGTAAACTTCAAACTACTAGAATCGAAGCCAAAAGGCTGTAGAAAAAGAAAAGAATAGGGACAAATTAGTTAAGATTGATGACTTTTTATAGAGTGAAAATGCTAAAATCGTTTCCAAAAACAATTTGCAAAATCAAAGGCAAGATTTCTCTACTGTTTTTCTGAAAACAAATTGCAAATTTTTTTTATATCATGGGAACGGAAATTATAGAATCTAAGGCAAGACAAGATGAGTTAAGTAGTAGCAGTACCTTTCAAATGATGAGTTAAGTAGAGGAATGGAAAATTTTCTTAAACTTATGGTTTATCAACATCTCGATCAAATTGCTAGTCTGCTTCTAATGATTTTAATCATGGCCGCCAGTTGGAGCCTAAGAATTGCCTAATGCCCCCACCCAACAGGAGTCATAGGACCAACCCCTTTAAAATACCAAAAGCCCTTACTTTTTAAGTTAATAATATTTTTTTTCTTTTTCTAATTCTTTTCATTTTTTCCCTCATTCCACATTCCACCCCCCCCCCCCCCCCCCCCCCAAAAAAAAATTGAACTCACCCAACAAATGAACATCTAAGGCATCTACAATAGTGAAAGAAAAAAATATTATTAACTTGATTCATAATAATAATCAATTGTGTGAGTCGCCTGGGGGGGTGCAATTTGGGCAGGCAAATCCGGCCCAACCGAACCCAGTCCAAAACTTTTGGGACTTGGGCTTTTAGATTCGTAAATTGAGCCCAATTCAGGTTGGGTTTTTTAAAAACCCAGCAGTGTTTAGATTGATCTCAAATTCAACCCGAAACCCAAAATATGTATATTTTAATTTTTTTACACCTTTCAAATCTTAACCGTTGAATGATCTTATTAAACGGTTGGTAGCGTGCATCGTTTTCTAAAAGCTCAAACAACTCCCCTCTAGTTAGCTAACAGCTCAAAACAGCTCTCCTCAATTATTCAAAATATCATTTGCCTCCTTTAAAACAAACATCCCTCAATTAATTGATGATGTCAGCAATCTAAAACTACAGAAAGCCCATATTGCCCTCCAAATAAATATATGTGTAGACCATTTTGCCCAAACAATATGCTCCTGCCAAAATGAAGCACACATTTCCCTCCATTTTTCACGTCCCATCGAACATCAAACAGGTTCATTTCCCTCCATTTTCTCTCTATATATATTAATATATTATATTGAATATTTTCTATATTTGATGGTTTGTATTGCATTAGATAATTTCTATTAATATATTGGTAATTTGTATTGATTATTTGTCCTATTTAATTTGTTTACAGATAGCATCATCTCAGTTGAACTTGTCCCACTTGCAAAAATTAAGATTTCCACATATGACAAATCAATAAAATTAGATCAACTTGTTATAAGTTAAAGCAAAAACATAAAATAGTAAAAATTCTTAATAAAAATTCACAAGAAGAGAAGTAAAACCAAAAATATAATGAAAATTCATAATTAATAGTGAACATAATTTTCATTACGTAATCAATAAAAGACCCAACAGGTTCTATATTGTCATTACATAACTTCATTTCACCAGAAAAAAATAAAATAAAATAAAAACCAAGTCACTTGCATCCCCCAAAAAAAACATTGTACCACATCATTTGCAATTTCCTATCATATATTGGTTTGGCTTGAGGAGCTTGCACCATGACCAACATTGCTACTCATGGTTGAATGTGTCCTTCCCCTGCTAACTATCCTTCCATGGAAAGATCCTCCACTGATTCCCCTCCCTCTCTGTCCTAATAGGTTGTTAACCCTTCCAATCTATGCATACATAATAGAAATGGTGATTCGTTATTTTTTAACGCAAGAAGGAAAAAAAAAAAAAAAAAAATTATGTTCGTTGACATTGTTGACTCCCCTTCCTGCAAAAGATGTTGATGGAACTGGTGTTGCCTGACTCAGACTTCCCATTCCTTTCCCTCTCTGTATATGATTCATTTAATTGAAATATGTTGTAAACTGAATACACACACACACACACACACAACTATTTAAAAAAAAACTAATTTAAAAAAAAAAAAAAAAAAAATCACCAAGACATCCACCCTTGCAGGTGGTTGACTAATACTACTAACTCCCCTTCCTGCAGAATATGCCATTGGTGGAACTGGTGTTGGCTGAAGCAGACTTCCCATCACTCTCCCTCTCTCTATATGATTCATCTAATTAAAATATGTTACAAGTTGAAAAAAAAATCTACAACTATTTTAAAAAATTATAATAAGTTAAAAACAAAAAAAAAAACACCAAGGCTATACCAGCTGATGGTTAACATTCATCCTTGCAGGTGGTTGACTCATATTACTAACTCCCCTTCTTGCAGAATATGCCATTGGTGGAACTGGTGTTGGCTGACTCAGATTTCCCATCCCCGTCCCTCTCTGTATATTATTCATTCAATTATAATATGTGAAAAAAAAAAAAAAAACCTGAAAAAAGAAAAAAGAAAATAAAAAAAGAACAAAGTAAAAAAATAATTATACCTGCTGCTGGGTCACATTGACCTCAACATGTGGCTGACTTATACTACTGACTCCAATTCCCTTTCCTCTCCCTCTCTTTATATGATTCATTCAAAAAAATAAAATAGGTTATACGCAAACAAATAAATAAAAACTGAACACAGGGAAAAAAAAATTAAAAAAAAAAAAAAACTATACATGTTGCTGGTTCGCATTGACACAAATTTCCATTCCTCTCCCACTCTTTATATGATTCATTGAAACAAATAAAATAGGTTATAAGCTGAAAAATACAACCTGAAAATAATAATAATAATTATTATTATTATTATTATACCTGCTGCTGGTTCACATTGACTCCAACCTGTGGTTGACTCGTACTATTGACTCTTATTCCCATTCCCATCCCTCTCTTTATATGATTCATTCCAAAAAACAAAAAAGAAGAAGTTATAAGCAGAGGAAAAAAATAACTAAACAAAATTATTGGGATTACAGCAGATTCGTTTCATTAATTAGGCATTACAGTTGTATTTCCATGTATTAGCTGTTTGTATTTGTATTTGAATTATTTTCCATATATAGTTTGTGGTAGGTAAGATCTCTAGGAATTAATTCAGATTTGTATAGTTATTAGTGATTCTGTATAGCTGGCAGATTTATATTTTCTTAGTATAAAGTCTTGTATAAATAGAGGCTGGGTCCTATCCTCTATAAGATAGAATAATACAAATTATTCATCATCTCTTCTTCTTATTCCGCTAATATGGTATCAGAGCTGGAATTTTGAATCTGATATTATTTTTTTCGTCTCTCTTTTATGTGCCTCTTACTAGCCCAGCCTTTGTGCCTCTTCGTGGCTATTGTTTCCTCTCTAGTTATTTGTTCTAATGGCAGAAATCCCTGTTCCAGTCACTGTGGTGACTAAACCTGTCATCCATTTTGATATCCCCACTCTCCAAATTACCCCTGAGAAATTCAATGGAAAAAATTTCCTTGAGTGGTCCCAATTGGTGCAGCTATTCTTCAAAAGCAGAGGAAAAATGGGGTATCTTCGGGGGATTATTAAAGAACCCAAAGAATCAGATCCTTCTTATGATTCCTGTGAAGCTGAAAATTCCCAGATCATGACGTGGTTAATTAATTCCATGACTCCAGGAATTAGTAAACCATTTCTCTTCCTTTCCACAGCAAAAGAAATATAAGACAGTGTGACTCGGAGTTACTCAAAAAAAGGAAGGGCTCCACGAAAGTTTGAACTGAAAAGAAAAATCCACAACACCAAGCAAGGAGACTCCTCCGTAACGGAGTATTTTAATACTCTAATGGTATTATGGCAAGAGCTAGACCTTCACCAACACTTTGAGATCAAGGACGCTGAAGTTGCTAAACAACTTGCTGAGATTTTGGAGGAGGATCAAGTTTTTGAATTTCTTGCTGGACTCAATTCTGATTTTGATGAAGTCAGTGGGAGGATTCTAGGAAAAGAGCCTCTTTGCTCTTTGGAGGAAAATTTTTCGTATGTTAGTAACGAAGAAGATCGAAAAGCAGTTCTCTCTAAAACTGCTGCCCCTAAAGTTTCTGCCCTCAAAACTGAAGGAGTTCAGTTCAATTCTGGGCAGTATAAAAATCATAATAAAAAAGGAGAGACTAACTCAAGGTGGTGTGATTTTTGTAATAGACCAAGGCATACAAGACAAACTTGCTGGAGATTGAATGGGAAACCTTCCATTGGAGACAAATGAAATCGTCCACAACAAAGGAAGGCCTTTCAAGCCGTGACTGAGTCTATGGAAAGCAATATAGAGGATCTCTCTAATGGCCAGATCTTCTCCAAAGCACAACTTGAGGCTTTACAACAGATAATGGGACGTGCTGGTCTCTCTGGTATATCAAATTCTAATTCAGTTGCCACTAGCCACTTTGTCCAATCAGGTACTACCCCTACTGCCCTCCTTAGTAGCACCAATAAACCTTGGGTTATAGACTCTGGAGCCTCAGACCACATGACTGGTAATTCCAATGATTTCTTAACGTATAATCCGTGTTCAGGCAAAGATAAAGTTAAGGTTGCTGATGGGTCGTTTGTTCCTATCCATGGAAAAGGTTTTATTCCTATTTCCAATACTCTGTCTCTTTCATCTGTCTTACATGTCCCTAGTTTTCCCTGTAATCTGTTATCCATTAGCAAGATCATAAACAATCTAAACTGCTCAGTGACCTTTTTCCCTACTTATTGTGTGTTTCAGGATCTAACCTCAGGGAAGAAGATTGGCAGTGGTGAAGAGAGAGACGGGCTGTATTATCTTTATCTTGGTAAAGAGATTGCTTAGGCCCATACTTCAGTCAGTAATAAAGAAAATCTGATATGGTTGCTCCATTTCAGAACTGGTCATCCAAACTTTAAGTCCCTTAAAGTGTTTATCCTGGTTTGTTTTCGGGTTTATATCTTTCAGTCTTTCAATGTGAAATTTGTGAACTTTCTAAAAGTCACCATGTTCCTTTTCCAATTAGTAATAAACTTTCTGCAATTCCTTTTTCGATGGTTCACACTGATATTTGGGGACCCTCCCATATCCTATCCTTGTTTGGCTTTAGATGGTTTGTCAGTTTTATTGATGATTGCACACATATATCTTGGATTTATTTGCTTCGAAAAAAATCTGAGTTCAGTAATATATTTAAGTCCTTTCACATGATGCTTAAAAATCAATTCCATACCAATATTCAAGTCTTTAGATCTGATAATGGGAGGGAATATTTCAATGAAACTCTGGGAACCTACCTAAATAAAAATGGGATTTTACACCAATCATCATGTATTGATACCTCTCAACAAAATGGGGTAGCAGAGAGAAAAAATAGACATTTACTCGAAGTGGCAAGAGTCTTATTGTTTTCTATGAGTGTACCCAAGTGTTATTGGAGTGATGCTATTCTAGCAGCAGCTTACTTGATCAACCGAATGCCCTCTAAAACACTCAATATGAAAACTTCGATTGACTGCCTTAAATCCTTTTCCACAAATGAAAGTATTTTCAACAGTCTTCCTTTGAAAGTTTTTGGGTGTGTAGCCTACATTCACCTTCCAAGTAGAGAAAGATCTAAACTTGACCTTAGAACACAAAAATGTATCTTTCTTGGTTATTCCCCAAACAAAAAAAGGCTACAAATGTTTTCATCTTCCTACGAAGAAATATTTTGTCACTATGGATGTAAAATTTTTCAAAAATCTCTCCTACTATCCCAAGTCCGATCTTCAAGGGGAGATTGGTGATGAAAAGGAAGATCTTTCCTATGATCTTTTAATAAATCTTGACCAAATAAATCTCGATTTTATTCCTATTCCTACTCCTATTGCTTTACCAGAACAACCAAGTCTAAGGGAGGATATTCAAGTTGAAAAATCAGAGGGAAACCGAACTATAGTTCAGCCAAACACTCCACTTATGTACTCATGAAGGAAACCTGGTCAGACTATACAGCCCGACACTCTTACCTGCAATCAATCTTCAACTCCGGAGTTGGAAAATGAGCACTATGTAAGTCCTCGGTCAGGTAGTTTACATAATCCTTCTTTACCTCAATGTGATACGAATTTAGATATTCCTATAGCTATCCGAAAAGGAGTAAGGTCATGTACCACTAAACATCCCATTACCAATTTTCTATCCTATCACCGAATTAAACCTTCCTTTCAGGTTTTTATTTCTCAAATTTCTACCGAAAGTATTCCTGCGAATATTTCTGAGGCACTAAAGGATCTAAAATGGAGAGGAACAGTTCTTGAGGAAATGAAAGCTCTACAGCAAAATGAAACTTAGGAAATTGTTAATCTGCCTAGAGGGAATAAACCTGTGGGCTGCAAGTGGGTCTTCAATGTGAAGTATAAATCAGATGGGTCAATAGAAAGATACAAGGCAAGACTCATTGCCAAGGGGTTCACTCAAACCTATGGTTTAGACTACCAAGAGATATTTGCTCCGGTTGCCAAAATGAACTCAATAAGAATTTTGTTTTCTCTTGCTATTAACGTAGATTGGCCTTTACATCAATTTGATGTGAAAAATGCATTTCTGCATGGCAATATAGAAGATGAGGTTTATATGGAATTACCTCCTGGTTTTGGAGATGCAAGTAGTGAGAAAGTTTGTAGGTTAAAAAAATCTTTATATGGGCTGAAGCAGTCTCCTAGAGCTTGGTTCGAAAGATTCTCAAAGTTTCTCATGAAGTGTGGCTTCTCACAGAGTCAAGGAGATCATACACTATTCTTCAAACATTCCCCTCATCAGAAGATTACTGTTCTTATTGTCTACGTTGATGATATTATAATGACTGGAAACAACTTCGAAGAAATTAGAGATATAAAGGCTCAACTGGCAAAAGAGTTCGAGATTAAGGTCTTAGGAAATCTCAGATATTTCCTAGGTATGGAAGTGGCAAGATCGAAGGATAGTATGTTTGTTTCTCAAAGAAAATACATTCTTGACTTGCTTAAGGAAACGGGATCTTTAGGAAGTAAACCAGCAGCAACTCCAATCAATCCAAATCATAGATTGGGGCTTGACAGTGAAGATAATCCAATTGATAAGGGGAGATATCAAAGGCTAGTAGGGAAACTGATTTATTTATCCCACACAAGACTAAACATTGCCTATGTTATAGGGGTGGTAAGTCAATTTATGCACTCTCCCTTGAAGTGTCATATGGAAGCTGTTCAAAGAATTCTGAGGTATCTAAAAGCTACACCAGGAAGAGGTCTTTTATTTAAAAAATATGAACATCTCCTAGTGGAAGTTTACACAGATACCGATTGGGCTGGTTCAATCACAGATAGGAGATCTACTACTGGTTATTGCACTTTCGTGGGAGGCAATCTGGTTACTTGGAGGAGCAAGAAACATAATGTAGTTGCCAGGTCTAGTGCAGAAGCAGAATATAGAGCTATGGCTTTGGGAATTTGTGAGATTCTATGGATACATAAGTTGCTAAAGGAACTTAAACTAGAGTTTACATCTCCTATAAAAGTATTTTGTGATAATAAAGTAGCAATCAGTATAACCCACAACCCCGTTCAACATGACCGGACCAAGCATGTCGAAGTGGACAAACACTTCATCAAAGAGAAAATTGAAAGTGGACAGATCACTACACCATTCGTAACAACTCGTCAACAATTAGCTGATATTCTCACAAAAGGAGTTACAACGGAACTCTTTGAAGATCTAAGGAGCAAGCTGGGAATGGTTGACATATACTCACCAGCTTACATATACTCACCAGCTTGAAGGGGAGTATTGGGATTACAGCAGATTCGTTTCATTAATTAGGCATTATAGCTGTATTTCCATGTATTAGCTGTTTGTATTTGTATTTGAATTATTTTCCATATAGTTTGTGGTAGGTAAGATCTCTAGGAATTAATTCAGATTTGTATAGTTATTAGTGATGCTGCATAGCTGGCAGATTTATTTTTTTTTTAGTATAAAGTCTTGTATAAATAGAGGCTGGGTCCTATCCTCCATAAGATAGAATAATACAAATTATTCATCATCCCTTCTTCTTATTCCGCTAATAAAAATAATTGTACCTGTTGTCGGTTCACATCGACTCCCCTTCCAATTCCCCTCCTCTCTATATATGATTGATTTAAATACTTTATGAAATTAACTAAAATAATGAGCTAAAAAAACAATCAATAAAAGTATACCTGTTGTTCATTCACACATGAAGGGTCTGCAGTTGTTGACTACTTTGAGTGTTGTTGTTTCTTCCAACTTGTGGCTAACACAACATAAGTTATATAACAAGTTAAATACGATATGATTTCATATAATTTATTGAAATAAAACAAGCTATAGAAGATGGAATACCTGCTGCTGGTGGTTAACATTGGCTTGTGTGTTACCCCTCTTCTCACTTCTGTTATTTGACATGTCCTCCTATTATGCCCAAATGTTTTACGTATCTTACATCTCACAGTTAGAGACCTTCTCACCTCACTAACGCCTGCAGCTCGCTCATCAACTTCTCTTCTTCTGTTCTTTCTAGGTCTGCCGGGTAACCTTCTCAAAGTTGGAGGATCTATTGGTTCAGCCTCAGTAGATGACCACAATTGTTGATCAACAATTGGATGGATCATGTTTCCATAAGCAGCCAAGTACTGCCTGTTGGTGTAGCATGAATCACAGAACCTCTCAATGTTATACCTATTGTAAGCAATAACTGTTGTTGCATGCTTACATGACAAACCACTGACCTGCCATGAATTGCAAATACAAGTCCTCCTACCAAAGTGAATGACATATATAAATCCCTGATCCATGAACTCATATTCTTCACCACCAGCAAATATTACAATGCAAATCCTTGAATCTTCCAATACTTTGTTCAACTTCTTCCTTATGTTAGGGGTGACCATTCCTGAAAGTCACACCATTTTTCAAACCTTTTTTGTATCCTTTCTGTAATACCCCTAGATTTAAAAGGATATTCCTGATATTTAATGTATTGTTTAAATAGTATTTTAATTTAATTAATTGTTTAAATTGTATTTTTCTTTAAATTAAATTAATTGTTATTTCGTGAGTTATTTGATTAATTGCGTTTTATATTAATTGATTAATTATTGTATTAAATGGTAATTAATTTAATTGTTTATAATTGAGTTATCGTAACGTAGGGTTTAGGTTTTATCATAGCCGCCGTCTGTTTCAACTTAGGTAGTTTCATGGGCCGATTAAGGTTGGAATTAGGGCTTAGTCTCTAATTTTTACACGGATTAGGGTTATTGTTTTGGGCCTATAAATATATCATAATGTGGGTTTAGGGTTTTGGGAAGTACGTACAACTCTGTTCACGTACCTAGATACAGAGAGTGAGAGACAGAGAAACAGAGAAAACTTGAGTGATCTATAGAGAAGTTCAAGAAGAAGGGAACAAAGGTTTTCTTCTGGGTTTAACCAAGAGTAGCAGAGGAGTAGAACGACAATTTAGAAGGTGGTCGGAAAACCTCAGAGACGGTGGTTTAGAGTTTCAAAGTCTGAAACTCAAAGGCAAGTTCTATCTTCCTCTTTCCCTTTGGGCTGTGTTCTGTGCACCTAGATGATCTCTAGGGAATAACTAATCAATGATTGAAACCTACATGTTTATTATATGCTTGGGTGATAGTCTGTTTGTTTTAAAATCCAATATATTTACAGTTTGTGTATATTTGTTTCAGTATCCTGTACATTAAGTATATTGATTCTGTTGTAAATTTAGTCTCTGTATTTGATTGCAACTTTTGTAAACACAGTATAGCAACACTACTGGGCTTATACAAAGCTTATAGGGATGCTATTATTCTATTTTAAATACGTGTTGCAATCCGTTCCGCTTCAATTTGCATATGGTTCCAGTGTTTATACTAACAGCATGTTAAGTTGGGTAGCAAACTTAAGCTTTGTAATTGACTTAAATTGCTATAATCAAACCTTGGGGATGCTATCAGGAGGGTGTTAGATCCTTTAGATCAGTTTAAGAAACAAGCAGAGGGGTAGGAATTGATCGGAGAAGGAGCAGATTGACGGAAACGGAGCAGAGATGAACTGGAGGCTCTCAAGAGGGAGAGAGCCGGCTCTAGAAAGTCAAGAGCCGGCTCCCCTTCAGCAAGAGCCGGCTCCTAGGGAATTGGAGCCGGCTCCAATAGGGGAAGAGCCGGCTCTTCCATTCCAAGAGCCGGCTCCAATTTGTTTTACGTCCAGAAAGTGTTTTCTAGGGCTCTGTTTGGTGTTTTGAGCACTGTTTGAGCTTCTGAGTGATTCTAATGAACTGTAGGGACTTAACAGAGGATCTAAGTAGTTAATTCTAAGTGTTATTAAACTCATTGTTGCATAGTTTAAGTCTCTAAGACAAAGGATGTAGCAGTGTAAAAATATACAATGGTGTATGCTACTAACAGAAGAAAGGAACTAAATGGCTTGATTAAATTTTAGAAATTTAATGAGACTTCACGGAGGGATTAAATAGTTAATTTTTGGGTGTTATTAAGACCCTAAATTGATTTAAGGTTAATTCTAAATTAACAGATCAAACTGTATAACACTTATGTACATTGTATACGGTTAGTGGATAGATGGAGTTTTAAATACTTAAGCTTATTTTTAGGCATTTCAGTGGGATTTAATATATTTATAAAATAGTTTTAAATATATTATAGGGTCATTGATGTGTTAGATGTGATCTATGCAGGCTCTGGATGTTAGTGGTTGAATTATGAAATCATTCCTTACAACTATATGGTTTAAATGCTTAGATTTAATTGCATATACTTGGATATTGGTTTTGGATTATAAATTGCTAAACGATTATATATATATGTGGAATTTTAATTGCTGAATTAATAGATTCTGTCAATTACATGGTTGTGGAGGATGGTATAAACCGATATGGGACGGTGTCATACTAGGGATGGTTTAACTCAAAACGCATAAACCTAACCTATTGGATTTAAGGGAAAGATTGTAAAATATTGAATCCTAAACCTTGTTTAGTTAGATCGACTGATTAAGTTGGAAGACTATCTGGATTAATTGTGTTTGTGTGTAGTCGGATCGACTGATTAAGTTGAATGACTACCTGGATTAAATGTTGGTTGTGTTTAAGGCAGATCGACTGATTAAGTTGAATGACTAAACTGGATTAAAATTCTTATGTCAATTCAATAAACAATAAAATGGCATACCTTGGGTTAGACGGACTTTATATATATGTTATGGCACCATGATATGGGCATGAGTCTCAAAATCGTTGGTTAGGGAGCGTATATGCATTGGGATGCATA